GAGTGTGCAAGCTGCTGAAGAGCCTCTACGGGCTGAAGCAGTTGCCGTTGTTGTGGTACAGGGCACTCGACGGTGTGCTGCTGGGCGCTGGCTGGAAGAAGAGCCAGGTTGACGAGGCGCTCTACTTCAAGGCCAGCGACAACGGAGTGACCTGCTGGGTGCTGGTCTACGTCGACGACCTTCTCGCCGCCAGCAGCAGCCTCGCGATGCTGAAGGAGCTAAAGGAGCTGCTGGAGGCTGCCTTCGAGCTGCGCGAGATGTCGCCGGTCGTGAAGTACCTCGGGCTGGAGATCGTGCGCGATAGGCCAGCGAGGAAGCTGTGGCTTCACCAGCAGGGCTACGCCGACAAGCTGCGCAAGCGCTTCATCGACGAGGAGCAGGGCGGTCGAGTCCCGAAGACGCCGGTCTCGGTCGATGCCTACACCGAGCTGACATTCGACGACGAGGAGGCGCAGGAGCATGAGGAGGAGGAGTACCGGCAGAAGGTTGGCTCGCTGCAGTTCGCGGCGACGACGACAAGGCCGGACATAGCGTTCGCCTGCAGCAAGATAGGGAGCGGCCTCACGGTGAGGAGCGACCAGCATTGGCGCGAGGTCGACCGCTGTCTTGCCTACCTTGCTGACACCCGCGACACCGCCCTGGAGTTCGGCGGTGGACCAGAGTCGCTGGAGCTAATCGACTACGTGGACGCCGATGACGCGGGTGACAAGCACGGGAGGCTACGTGTTCGTCTACGGAGGGGCCGCCGTCTCCTTGTCGAGCTTGCGCATCAAGTGCGCAACACTGTCATCGACAGAGTCGAAGTACGTGGCGGACACGGATGCAGGCAAGGAGGGACGCCGACTTCGTTTCCTTCTTGCGGAATTCAAGCTACTCGACGCTGGAAAGCCGACCATCCTCCGCGTCGACAACAAGTCGGCAATTACGGTCGCTGAGGGCTTGGGGCTGACGGGCAACCTCAAGCACATGGAGCGACGCTATGCCTGGCTGCAGCACATGGCGAGGCGCGGGAAGTTTGTACTGAAGTACATCCCGACCACCAAGTAGCCAGCAGACTTCCTGACAAAGGCGCTGCATTCCCCGGCTTTCAACCGGTGCTCTGTCACCATCGGCCAAGTTCGTCTGGCCGACGTCGGCGACGGCGACGATGATGCGCAGCAGTAGGTGTCGTGCCCTTCTGCACGACTGGTGCGGTGACGGCGTGCTGTATGTGGGGTGAACGCCGAGGACGAGTTTTCTCCGTAGTGTGCTGCCTTTTGGGCTGGGGGCCCAAGCATGAGCGCGGCAGGGGAGTGTTAACGGGAATGGAGTGTTGGCCCCGCCCTCGCTTGGGCAACGCCGACGACTTGGTCGGATGTACGGGAGTAGCAGCCGACTGTTCACTGTGGGAGAGCTGCTCGACATGCTTCGTCGAGCTACAGGGGACCGCTGTGGTGTTTCTGTCGACCAGGGAGCTAGACAGCCGCAACTGACTGGTCTGGGCGACGGGTGTGTCGTCGACCAGGAGGAGCAGTTCGACCGGGAGCAGCTGTCGACGAGGGGAGCTCGGCGACAACAGCTGATAGTTCTGATCGACGGAAGGGGTCCGTCGACCAGGGGGTAGCTCGACAGGAGCTGTGGTCGACCAGGGGCACCTGGTGGTCGACCAGAGGCACTTGGTGGTCGACCAGAGCACCTGGGGTTGTCAGGGTCGACCGGGTAATTTGCTCGGCGAGTTCTGCGCAGGCACGTGAACGTCGTCGAGGTCGTGATGGCGAAGGCGACTTTGGGTTGGTATCCCGAAGTCGATGTAGCTCGTCAGGCGCAGACAACAGCCGACGAATGCACAACAGTGCAAGTCGGGCCAATCGTCTGCGCGCACCTACGAGCGAGCGCACTGTTGTCCTCTACGGGGCAACGTTGGACAGCCGCTCTGCTGCAGCGTTGGCACACCGTCGACCTGCTGTGTTGGCAGGTCGCCTTTGTGCAATGCTGGCGCGGCTCCTCTACGCAACGCTGGCGGGCGGTCGACCATGCTGTGCTGTCGGTCGACCAGGCTAGCTGCAGAGTTGCTAGGTGCCTGATGTAGTCATTGTTGTCATTGCTTGTTTAACACTATTGTAATTCCAACTTTGCTAGTGGAAACTCTTGCTGATTTCTCCCGTGATTGTGCAAGCACTAAGGAACTAGGCAAAGCTACGATCACTCCTAGTAGTTCGTGCCAACCCCTGTAGTCTAGCTCACTACCGTTGTGGAGTGAATCCCCGCATGCTGGACACGGGAGGACAGTGGAGGCTTGCGCGACTATTGGGCCCCCAGTCGGGTCAGCCAGTGAGACCGGTACCGGTGCAGCAAGTGGTGTGAGTGAGGTGCAGTCACGAAAGAAGCAACGTGACGCGCCTAAGTCAAGTGTGAAAGTGTGCAAGGCCTCAGCTGAGGAAGGACCTGTGGCGGGAGACGCACGAGCACCTAAAGCTGTAGCAGACTCACTAGCACCTAGTGCGGCAGCAGACTCACTAGCACCTAGTGCAGCAGCCTCGACAGAACCAGTGACACATCTCTGAGGAAACAACTCACTAAGCACCTGAGGGGAGAAGGTCTCTTGCTGACTCTGCTGCCGCCTCTGCGCAGTACATAGAAAACCAAAGCCTCCACCACCTGGACAGGCTCGCTGAAGAACCCACTCGCGAAGCTGCTGAGGGGTGGGGTCGTTCGGGAGAGGCAGTGACCGCCGTTGTCCACCCCTAGCTGCTGCAACTGCCGTGATAGTGGCCATGACAGGCAGCGACGGTCAGTAGTAGGTCCAGCACCTCCAGCACCAGCAACACCTCCAGCACTCCCAATCGCACCTCCAGCACCCCCAGCACCGGCAGCACTCCCAGCACTCCGAGCAGCACCTCCACCAGCAGCAGCAGTAGCAAGGAGCAGTGGCAGCAAGGAGCAGCAGCAGCAAGGAGCGACAGCTGCAGCAAGTAGCAGCAGCAGCAAGGAGCAGCAGCTGTAGCAAGTAGCAGCAGCAGCAGCACGTAGGAGAAGGCGCACAGCAGGAGCAACAAGAGGAGTTGCAGCAGCAGTGGCAGTAGAGAGCAGCAGCAGTAAGTTAGCAGCAGCAAGGAGCGACAGTTGCAGCAAGTAGCAGCAGCTGCAGTAAGTAGCAGCAATTAGCAGGAGAAGCAGAGCATGCAGCAGTGACAGCAGCAGCAGAGCATGTTGCGGCAGCAGCAAGGGCTGTAGCGGCAGCAGCAAGGGCTGTAGCTGCACCAGCAGGGCTGTAGCTGCAGTAACAGGGGCTGGAGCGGCAGCAGCAGGGGCTGTAGTGGCAGCAGCAAGGGCTGTAGCAGCAGCAGCAAGGGCTGTAGCTGCAGCAGCAGGGCTGTAGCTGCAGTAGAAGGGGCTGGGGCGGCAGCAGCAGGGGCTGTAGCGGCAGCAGCAAGGGCTGTAGCGGCAGCAGCAAGGGCAGTAGCAGCAGCAGCAGCAAGGGCTGTAGCTGCACCAGCAGGGCTGTAGCTGCAGTAACAGGGGCTGGAGCGGCAGCAGCAGGGGCTGTAGCGGCAGCAGCAAGGGCTGTAGCGGCAGCAGCAAGGGCTGTAGCTGCACCAGCAGGGCTGTAGCTGCAGTAGAAGGGGCTGAGGCGGCAGCAGCAGGGGCTGTAGTGGCAGCAGCAAGGGCTGCAGCTGCACCAGTAGGGCTGTAGCTGCAGTAACAGGGGCTGGAGCGGCAGCAGCAGGGGCGCGATTTGAGTAGGAAAAACGGCCTGCCTAGGGGCGCGATTCAGGCAGGAAAAACGGCCAGCCTAGGAGCGCGATTCGGGCAGGAAAAACGGCCTGCCTAGGGGTGCGATTCGGGTAGGAAAAACGGCCTGCCTAGGGGCGCGATTCGGGCAGGAAAAACGGCCTGCCTAGGGGCGCGATTCGGGTAGGAAAAACGGCCTGCCTAGGGGCGCGATTTGGGCAGGAAAAACGGCCAGCCTAGGGGCGCGATTCGGGCAGGAAAAACGGCCAGCCTAGGGGCGCGATTCGGGCAGGAAAAACGGCCTGCCTAGGGGCGTGATTCGGGGCAGAAAAACGGCCTGCATAGGGGCGCGACTCGGGCAGGAAAAACGGCCTGCCTAGGGGCGCGATTCGGGCAGGAAAAACGGCCAGCCTAGGGGCGCGATTCGGGGAGGAAAAACGGCCTGCCTAGGGGCGCGATTCGGGCAGGAAAAACGGCCGAACGGAACTAACGGTGGGCCCTAAACGAGTGGTCCTACAGATGGACCTGCTCCGAAACCATATCGAGAGAACTGTGCAGGAATGATTGGATTAGCAAGAGTTGTGGTACAAGTACGGTACTAACCCTAGAAGTGTTGTACCCCATAAGGAGTGCCCCACTGTAGCCTACAAGTAAGATTGTACTTTGACATCACTATCATACCCATTGCTCGCTGTAACACCCGTTTCTCGTTATGACAACCATTGCTCGTCGAGACACCTTTCCATTGGTAGTTGAGATACCCATTGCCTGTTGCAGAAGCACGAGGCATCAATGATAACGTGCAAGGCATGACTGCACAATACACTATATTCCCATACACCTGAAAGGTGTATCCAGATGGGTTGGGCACAAGAGAGGAGGTTTGGGCGCAAGGAGAGGAGTGGAAGGTTATGGGCAACAGGAGGGTTGGGCGCAAGGAGAGAAGGGGGGGGCAAGGTTGGGCGCAAGGAGGGCTGGGGGAGAGGAGGGTTGGGCGAAAGTAGAGTTGGGCGCACGGAGTTTTAGTAACTTTCCTCCACGTTGGTGTGGGGGCGCCGATGCCCAGTCTGTGTCTCTCTAGCCTGGAGCAGCTGAAAACCAAAACTGCCTCTTACATTAAAACCTAGTGGCCCTTTCAAAGGTAGGAAGCTTGAGACTACGGTTTTAATATATTTTTTATCGCTACGTACCCGCAAAAACAATTAGCCAAGCAGACTTTATGAGCCAGAGAATCCCCTCCTAGCCCCACCTTGCCCTCATCTTTTAAAATACCATCCTAACTTTCCAGCCTACATTCCGGGGGGCATTGTGAAGCTGGGCCCGCGCGTGAGGATCGCATAGAGCAGACCCGAGGCCGTGCCCGCGAGGGGGAGCGTGAGAATCCATCCGAAGCCCGACACGGCCACCATGGCCCAGTTGATGGCGCGCCAGTTGCCGTTGCACAGCCCCACGGCGACCGTCGCGCCGACGATGCACTGCGTGGTTGAGACCGGTAAAGCGAGGAAGGACGCGGTGATGACGGAGAGCGCGGCCCCAAGCTCCATGGAGAAACCTCGCGACGGCGAGTGGTACGTGATGTTGTTCCCCAGAGATTTCATGATGTGGTAACCATCTGCGGCGAGGGACAGGGAGATAGAAGCGGAGACGATAGCGGTGAGTGGAGAGCTAACACGGGCGATGCTGGATGACGACAGCTGCGGCAAGCATGGGGGAAAAGGCAGAGGCCAATGGGGAGAACAGACAGTGACTTAACTCGCATGGCTGACAGAGACCAGCGGGCGCGTAAGCACGGTGTGTTAGCACAGCAGGGCAGAGGCGGTGGCGGCGGCGGCGGCAGTGCCATGGCGCGGCAGAAACGACTTACAGAATGCGAGGCCGAAGTCGAGAGCGATTCCGGCGTACGCGAGCATCCACGTGGGCACGCTCGCCTCCGTCGCGAACGTCCCCGAGTCCCAAATCTGATACACTCCCGCCAGCGGCCCCAGCGCGTTCCCGATGTCGTTGGACCCGTGCGCGAAGCTCGCGAACCCGGCGGTGATGACCTGGAGCAGCGAGTAGAGGTACTCCGTCTTGTTGTCGTATATCACCGCCACCTCGTGCGCGCGCACCGCGCCCTTGTTCTCGTGCTGCAGACCCGCGACGTCCATGAAAATCGCCCGCCACAGCAGCAGCTTGACATGGTTGAAGAAGCGAACAAGAGGGTTCTTCGCGACGGGCTTCTCGAGTTCCTTCTCCTTGTCCTCCTCCGGGTCCTCGACTGGCATCCCCAGTTGCTTCTTCTCGTCGTCGCTCAGCAACTGGGGAGTGAACGCGCGCTTCAGGTACATATCGATCTTGGGGTCCTGCGGCTGCTCCGGCACGCACCAGATGTAGAAGATGTGATACCACTTGAGGTTCTCCTCCTTCTCCAGCCGTCGGATGAAGAAGGGCACGAGGAATCCGACGCAGAAAATGAGCATCACGCCGGTCACCGCACCAATAATGCCGAACGCGAGGCCGACGTTGCCGCTGACTTTGACGGCGCCCCCTGTGGTAGAAGGTTTGAAGTCAAGAGTCGACTTGCCGTTCTTGGTCGCGACGTAAAACGACACGATGAAGGTGGTGATGGTGAAGTAGACTGGAATTGCGTAGATTCCGGCGCGGAGGGAGTTCTTGCGCTTCATGACGGCGTAAAGCGTGACCATGTAAATGATTGCGGCGAGAATGCCGGCCAACGTCGGCGCGAGCACCCACGACGTCGCGATCTGCGCGACGCCCTTTCCGTCCCAGCCCCAGTTCACGGCACCCGTGCCGTACGCGCTAATGCCGATTCCGATCAGCGCACCGATGATGGAATGAGTGGTGGACACGGGCATTCCTAGGTACGTGGCGAACATGACCCACGTGGACGATGATACAAGCGCACACATGAATCCCGACATGAGTAGATCGGGCCGACTGTCGAAAAGCTTCGTCTGAATAATTCCGTCCTTCACCGTCTTAGTCGTGGTGGCGCCTAAAGCAATTGCCCCTCCGAATTCCGTGAAGATGGCGATGCAGACCGCTTGGGCGAGAGTGAGCGACCGCGACCCGACGGACGTAGCGAAAGAATTGGCGACGTCATTCGCACCTGCGATTGTGTCAACAGAGGAAGGAAAAAGGTGAGCATTTTTTTTTCGGGCAGGTGTAAGGGGTCAGGAAGTCAGAAGAATAGGAACGGCATTGAAATGTAGCAAACGCGATAATGTTGCTTACCAATGGAGTAGGCGTCCAGAAACGCGAAGAGCATGGTAACGACGAATACCCATGTGTACGAGTGGATGGGCATTACAACCGCCATGGCGGCTAACTTTCACGGACACTCGCCGAGAGGCTCAACGGAGTGCAAATGTTGCTCCGTACTCTAAGGTGGAGCTAGCACTGGACTGAAGCTCCGATGCGTTGGTTGGGAAGTAGCCGCAGCCTACTTGGAAACACAGACGGTCGAGTGAATATATGATGGAGAATCGACCCATAAGTGCGTGCTTTGTCGCCCCCTCCAACCTTGCCTGGAACCGCGCCACACGGTTTCGCCTTTCTGCAGCAAGGCGGCCCACTAACAAAAGGATAATTATGAGGGCTAATGCTGTTCATATCACAAGATTTCCCTAAACAGCAGCCAGAGAGAATGACGGTTCGAAGTAACGAGGAATGGGGTATGTTCGTACACGGACGCTTGTTTCCTGCCTTGGAGAGCTCAAGGCTGGTGCCCGCGGGGGTCAGCTTTTCCTGAGCGGACGAAGAAACATTTTTGTATCGGGGTAATTACAAATCAAAAGTGGGTTCTTACGTTCACGGTGCGGCTTTCACCATCCAGCAAAAATATGCTCCAGGTGCGGCTTGCCACGTGACCCAATTGGTTTTGGTCTGCTGCATTGGCGTTGTGACAAGGCTTCCTGCCAGCATGGCGTTCTATATTGATAATCTGTTATTGGCTGTGGAAACACATCTGAAAAAAAAAATTGGAATCGTTGATCTGAGTCGTTCATTGCAAGATGCCATCGAGATTCCATCACGCGTCGCGCTCATGGTCGGCCGTCGAATGGAGAATGTGCAATAGTTCACAGAATGCATGGGGTAGGCTGCACCCAGATTCCTCAGGAGCCTGGATACCGAATGAACCCGATCTTGGAACTCGTCAAGTTTCATGTCCTTGAGAAGGGTTTTTGACGAGAGAGCCACACACGTGGATCAGGGTTTTGACAAGTTTGGGTGTACGCCTTAGTGGATCATCATGTTGTTCGTTGTACGAGCGTTTGAACGACCACGAAAACAACACATGCTCAGCATAATATGGTTTGAGCAGCATATCCACTTCCAGTGAAACCTACTGATGCAGATGCTGAGAACACCACCTTGTGTACGCGATAAAGGGCTACTGAGCCTTCCAGCATTTGGCAAGCCCAAGGCAAGAACCAGCCGCATATTCACAATATCATCCCGATAGTCTAACTTATTCCAGGTCTATTGCTGCCACGCTTATTGCGCGGAATGACGAGCGCCGCATCCTCGGAAGCACGCCGAGAATCCACCGAGTCGTTGCAGCGAAGCATCCAGGGCGATTTTCATGGCGCCGGCCGTTTGCTGCCGCCGAGTGCAGCACGCGATTCGCTCGCAACGGCAGATGCTGAATCAGCGACGACTAACACGCGAGATCCCGAGGGGGTGACAGTTGCGGGAACCGTGGCGCATATAAGACGACTCAAGGACACGTGGCGCCAGGAGCAGCATCGTCTGCGTCAGCGGTTGGTCGTTGGCGACGCGCTCGGCTTCCAGCCGCCGCCACTGCTGCGTGCCGCGGGGAATGCGGAGAATGGGGAGCACGCGGAGGAGAGAACGGAAAGTGCGGGGCGAGTAGAGATTCAGGGTGCGCGCGCGCACGTGGAGGGAGCGGGAGATGCGCGGGTGGAGTATGGCGGGGGAAGGGCGGGCGAGCAGAAGCACGACTGGAACGGCAACCAGCAGCCTCTCACCCCTCCCAACCGCTCTCAACCCTCTCAAATACAGCTTCCCCAAGAAGAGACGGCCCAAGTACAGCCGGTCGAGTCCCAGCCGGCCCAGATACAGCTGCCTCAGATACAGCCTCCCCCGGTGCATTCCCCCCAGATACGACCTCCCCTGGCGCTGGTGGGCGGCGTGGACGTGAGCTTCCACCGGCGCGACCCGGACCTGGCGGCTGCGTGCCTGGCGGTCGTCGCCTTCCCCAGTCTGCGCCTCCTGCACTCCGAGATCGCGCTCACGCGCGTCACGCAGCCGTACATTCCCGGATTTCTGGCGTTCAGAGAGGTGCGGAGGGGTTGAGTTGGGATGCAGGAGTGCTCAGTGAGGTGGGGAGGGTTTCGAATTTCCGCATGCCTTCGTCACCTGTCGCTCTCTCTTTTCCGCCTCCCCCCTTTCTTTCCCATCCGCCCAGTTTCCCCCCTCCTCCTCTTCCCCTCCTCCTCCCTGCCCCATCGTGCTCCTCCCCTCGCCTCCGCTCACCTCCCCCCTCCCCCCTTCCCCCTCGCCCGTGCCCGTCAGCAGTGCGGGGTGCTGGTGGGTCTGATCCGTCGCCTGAGGGACACGCACCCGCACCTCGTGCCGCAGGTGGGGGAGGGGCTGTGGGGCATGGGGATAAGGGGCGGGGATGATGCGAGATGAACGGGGGTGATGATGGATGGGACGGGGTGGTGAGGGCCGGGAAAGGGGGGGGGTTAAGCAGGAGAACGTGCAGGGCACTTTCAATGGTGTGGTTCACAATGCAGGCTTGCTGAGTCTGGTCCCTAACTTTCTGCCACGTGGCACTTTCCCATTGGTTTACCGCCCCCAGGTCATTATGGTGGATGGTAATGGCATCTTCCATCCACAGGGTAAGCCCCTGTGCCCTTCCCTTCTCTGCCATGCCATGCCACCATGCCATGCCATGCCATGCCATCCTGGGCTGTACTGATGGCTCACCGCCTGCCACATACTGTCTGCACGCACCAACCTCTCGCACCCTCACTTCTTTTAGTTCCTCTCCCCCCACACTCCACCCATCCGTACACCTTCCCCGCACACCTTTTTATTCAGGCTTCGGGCTGGCGTGTCAGCTGGGCGTGCAGGCAGACATTCCCACCATTGGCGTGGCTAAGAACGTGAGAGCCTCACAGCATGCATGCTCCTTGTGCCATGTCCCATGTGTGCCATGCCCCCTGTGTGTTATGCACCATGGACGATGCCCCATTTTAGCTGGGCGTGCTGGCAGACATTCCCACCATTGGCGTGGCTAAGAACGTGAGAGCCTCACAGCATGCATGGCCCATGTGCCATGCTCCATGCGTCATGTCCCATGGGCCATGGTTTCTCGAGCATGCAGCACCATGATCCATGCACCATGCTATATGTCATGCGTCATGCCCCCATGCACCTCCCCCCACTTCCCCACCCCTCCCCCTCGCACCATCAGATGTATTACATGGATGGCATGACGGACGAGCAGGTGTGCTCCCTGAAGCAGCAGCATCTGCAGCAGCCGGGTGACTGGGCTCTGCTCACAGGCGCTAGTGGCGCCACACATGCCGCTGTGAGTACTGCTCCCCACACTGCCCGGCTACTCGTGATAGCACACACACCGCTCTGCATCTTCCTCCGCTCTCTATCCCTGGACCACATTTGAGAAATCTTAAAAGTGATTTAGAGTCCCATCAATTCTTCACTTATCCCCAGAAATCCCCCTTCACTCCACCCCCCCTTGCCACCCTTCCCTCCTTTCCTCGTCTCACCAGTCTTCCCTCCCCACATTCTCCTCCCCTTGCCCCTCCCCCCTCTCTTCCTCCCTCCCCCGCATGCGCCACCAGCTTGTGCGGGGCGGGCCGGGCAGTCACGACCCGGTGTTTGTGTCGGTGGGGCACCGGGCCTCCTTACAATCAGCAGTGGCCATCACACAGCGCTGCTGCCGCCACTGCCCATGCCTTATCCCCATCCCCTCCCCATTCCTCCCTCGCGCGTTCCATGTATTCCATCAGTTAGTGCGCGGAGGCCCGGGCAGTCACGACCCGGTGTTTGTGTCGGTGGGGCACCGGGTCTCCTTACTCTCAGCAGTGGCCATCACTCAGCGCTGCTGCAGGCACCGCGTGCCTGAGCCCGTGCGCCTGGCCGACGGGCTGTCGAGAGCAGAGCTGCGGGGAGTGACGGTGGCGGAAGCAACGGGTGATGAGCAGAGTGGAGCGGTGGGAGAGCAGGGAAGCACTCGGGAAAGCTAGTGGACGCGTGTCGTAGTCACCAGCTAGTGTACAGTCTATATAGCACTATCATATTGTGCACGTACCTCCTGTATAAAAAGCTTCCTTATTGCCTAAAATGGCCTTCTCACCTACCCTATGATAAACCCAGGCAGCATTGGCCTTCTCACCACACAGCACTGCTGCCAACAGCGAGTGCCGGACCGGAGCGGAGCCTCTGCGCAGAGCAGGCCGACAAGCTGCCCAGGGCAGAGCTGCGGGGAGTGACAGTGGTGGAAGCAGCAAGTGATGAGCACAGCGGAGAGCAGAGCAGAGCAGAGCTGATGGGGAGTGACTGTGGCGGAAGCAGCGGGTGGAGAGCAGAGTGGAGCATTGGTAGAGCGGCGAGGCATTGGAGGAAGCTACAGTAGTGCTGATTTTGGGCGAGTTGAAGCTTCACACTGCTGCAAGCCTCGCGGTGCGCCTGGCTGATGGGTTGTAGAAAGCAGTGCTGTGGGGAGTGGTGGTGATGGCAACAATGGGTGATGAGCGCCACGGATCTTTGGCAGAGAATGGAGGTTTTGAAAAAGGCTAGCGGTAGCGGATGTGTGTTTTTCGCTTGTGTGTACAGTCTAGAGCACTATCATGTAATATAAGTAGTACATGGATGTCCTGTACAAAGGGTTCCTTTCTTGGCTACTAAGTTAACCTGCTATGAGAACACTATCCTAGAACACAATCTCCAACTGCCGGAGTGATCGATCCACGGGTGTCATATTGGTCCCCATGGCAGCACACAGCTGCCGCATGCGCGCGTACAGCCACCGCCGCTCCTCCACACTCACATGCACGCTCGCCTGCAGCCGCCGAATGGCATTGGGGAACAGGCTGATGCTGGTGAAGCGGCACGACACGGGGTCAAGGTGGAGGTGGAAGAGGAAGGAGAGGTCGTTGCGATACTCCTTGTCGACTGCATAATCGTCGATGAAATCCCCGCAGCTGTACAGGATGGGTGCGCCGTGGTGGAATTCCACGCCTTGTATGTGGTGCGCGGACGTGCCTATAACGAGGTTGGCACCGCAGCGGTCGATGAGGGTGTGTGCGAGGTGGCGGATGGCAGGGCTGGGGTGCCAGGCGTAGTTGGGGCCCCAGTGCATGCACACCACTGCCAGGGTCCTTATAGGAAGGCTGCTCTCTGCCTCTGCTGCTGCTGCTGCTGCTGCTGGTAGCGGTGCTGTTGCTGCTGCAACTGCTGAGGGTGCTGCCTCTCCAGCCATCCTCGTGTGCGTGCTCGCTTGAGCAGTGCTTGTGTGAGGGCGCTCCTTTGCGGCCGTCACGAGTCCAGCAAAGCGGTGCAGGTCAGCATCAGTCACTCTGGGCACGGCCGGCAGCGTTAGAAAGAGAGACGAGCGAGGGGGAGAGAGAGAGAGGGTGACAGAGAGAGACAGGCGGAAAAAGGCGAAAGTGGAGAGTGAGAGTGAAGAGTGAGTGGAGAGGCAGAGCGGAACGCACTGTGTCGCACTTGAACACATGCAGTTGAACACATGCAGTCACAATATTGATTCTACGCGCAGTCAACTCACATTGCGAACCAATGCGACATGATGCAGTCTCATACACATTCAGAGAGGCGCATGAATGAACATGAGATGATGCATGAAGCATGAAGTAATGAAACCGACTTGAGACATTAGCCCACCTCTCAGGGTCTATCAGGTGGATTCCCGGCGAATCTTCTGTAGCCGCCCAGTACTTGAAGTGGTCGGCAGCGCTGAACAGTGCCAGCTGGATGGGCGACAACGAGCTGTTGCCAGCAGGGAGCTGATTGCACCGTCAGGAAGCAGGATGGCAGACAGAGTGTGGTGGAGTGAGGGTGAGGAAAAGGGGGAGGCGTTGGGGAGGAGGGATGCAAGGAGTGCTTAAGCTCTGTTGACAAAAAAGAAAGAGACCAATACTCCCCCAAGAACAAAGTTGCAGGGGCACAAGCGGGTATCTATGCTCATGCTACCAATCATGCATGCGGCTAGGCATGCATGTTCTCATGACACGTGGCATGGCACTGGTTTCACGGACGCAGAAGCTCACACACATACACACTCACTGTGATGAACGCCGGTGCAGATGCCTCTGCCAGATTCCGTCCGCAGCCAGCGAATCGGATGCCGACACGTGTCAGGCTCTCCATGGTTTCGCGCATGCCCTGCGCCTGAAAGTCCAGCACATGGTTGTTGGCCAATGAGCAGAAGTTGATGCTGTGGGGTTGGTGGGGGATTGGTGGGGGATTGGTGGGGGATTGGTGGGGAATTGGTGGGAGAATGGTGGAAGATTGGTCAGGGAATGGTGAACGAGGAATACACAAGGAAGGAGTCATCATCTCCTAATAGGAGATGAATATCAATATGATGCATTCATGTTCATGGGCTGAGAGGCCGTACCCAGCTACAGTGAGAGCATCGATATTGACCGGGTGCATTCTGAAGTTGAACGCCTGATTGGGCCACTTGTCGCGATGACGTGTCACACTTGTTTCTAGATTTGCAATCCGGCAGTCAGCCGCCCGCAGCAACGGCAACCAGCCATCCCAGACGTATCCTGCTGACGTGTCTGCAGCTGCTGACGTGGTTGTTGCAGATGAGCCCGCTGAAGTGTCGGGCCAGAAGCCTTCGGGTATGCGTGCAGTATCCTCGTCAGCACCTTGCTCTGCCTGCCATGCCTGATGCGAGGGCGAGGTTGGGTGAGGTGCAGTGGGTGAGTAGGGTGTCTTATAACACAACGTGGGTAAGACGAGGTGCAGAGAAGTGAGGTGGAGAGCAGAGAGATACGAATGGAGACGAGAGGGATTTGCAAACGTGAGGCGAGGGTCTGTGGCACGACGATCTCACAGCTGCAAGGGCAGAGGCGTGCTGGTCGATGTGCTCATCCGCGCTCCGAAGCACGGCCTTGCCTCGTCGCAGCAGCATGTGGTTCACCAGGCGACCCAGCATGCAGTCGCCCACCACCGCTATCGTCGTCGCCCGCGCGCCGGACGCTGCACAGATCACCATGTCGCTCTCCTCTGACATCACTCGCTTCTGCTGCTGCGTCGATTACTGAACCTAATGAACTATTATTTCTGGTAAAGATTCTGCTCAGGTCAGTAAAATTACACGTGCAGCGCAACTGCTGCGAGACGTGCAATTCCCGCCACTTGCTTAGTGAGCGCACACTCGGAGTAAAAGTAACGTTTCTTCTCCTTTTCCCCTCCTACCCACTTACTACGCACTCAACCCCGCCCTCCTTAAACTGACGTAGATCTCTTGTGCTCAAGTTACCTGGCCACGTGCCATGGCGCCGTTTCCCCGCACAGTGAAGCACACACCCCTCAAAGCGGTACAGCATTCTTGCGCGGACAAGAAATGCTCCACAGGGGAACCAAATGTCGAGACACGTTGATTGAGGGCGAAACCCTGGAGTCTTCGGGAAAAAGCTGCGACGGAAGTGAAATCCACGTGTTAGCGTGTTAGGGCTTCACGTCATGCATTGACTAAGAAGAGAAACGGGAAAAAAACGAAAAAGAAATGAATTTCTGAACCCGAATTCGAACCGGAGACCTCCAGTGTGTGAGACTGGCGTGACAACTGTCTTTTTTGACAATAAATGGAGTAGAAAGGTTCAATACATGTTTTCGATTCTAGTTTCCCATGTATCCAGTTTCAGTAACTTTCTCCTTAGTTCACCCAGTCCCCTGTGTTAGTGTTGGAAACATCGACTCACATAACTGGTACGCACAATATCCACAAGCTGCTAGAACTACCTTAGTGAGGTAGCATCATTCGGAAAAGCTACCGCAGTTAGAATGTCAAATACAGATCCAGACACCGATTTACTGGAGAATGTTCTCAACCGCCTCGAAGACAAGAGGTGCCCACTCAGGACTTGGTGTCTTGATGGCACACTTCGTGGCAGCAACACCGAGCAAGAACGTAATCTCCAGAAGAATGGGGATGGACGGTGCCAGCTTTGCTGAAAGGTAAAGGATGTGTTGGTTGGTGTCCTTGAGGTGTCGCTTTGCCACAAAGAAGACGTTGTTCGAGGCCAGCTTTTCTGAGACAGAGTCAATGTTCCCGATTGTTATGCCCAAATCACGGGATACCTCGTTGGAATCCGGAAGCGCCTTCCATGTCTGTGGATCAGGACAAGGGGCGTATGGAGATGAGTAAATGATAAAGACCCAACCCAGCTCGACTGTCAGCCAACAGCAGCATTACATTTCCCAGAGAGAGCAATGCAAAAGAAATACATTTTCGACCACACTTTGACATGCTCACCTCAAGGAACACTCCACGTTCCATGCGCCCTTCTTCAGTAAAGAATGCCTGCACCCTGATTTTGTCAGTAAAATACAAAACTGGCTGCTGATTGTTCTTCACCGCAACTTGGAGGACTGACGATGGAGGAGGAGGAGACACGTTATGAAAGAGGGTCAATGGCAGGTCAGCTGTTGCTGATGCACCTGGTTGCAGAGGTGGCACCTGCAATAACGTAAACACACAAACATCAACACAAGACAAGACTACCAACGTCCAACAAAATCAATCTTGGATAAATGTCTTACAGGTAAAACGCCAGCTGGAGCAGATATGCCGAAGGAGTTTTTATTCAGCTGCATCATAAAGCCATCCAAAGCTGTGCTGGAGTTGTTGTCAAGCTTGACATGGTAAACCACCTGGCCATCCTTGCGCTCCAGTTGACCATTGATCTGCAGCCCTTGCCCAGCTGACGCTGCTAGAAGAACTGGAAGAAAAGGTCTGCATGAAAAACAAAGTCAATTAGACAACCAGCCAGTATGACAACTGAACAGGAACATCCAGGAGCTACATATGGAAAGCAGAGAAAGCCGTACCCAGAAGGTGCCTCAGGCACAGGAACTATGGCAGCATCCAGACCCATAAGGTCACCAAGAAGGTCAGGTGGGGCAGAAGCAGCTGCAGGAGCAGGAGCAGCAGGAGCAGGGGATGGAGCAGGAGCAGCTGGTGGTGCAGCTGAAGGAGGAGCTCCTCCTGAAACAGGAGCAGATGACTCTTCATACTCTTCAGACGGCTCAGCTGCTGATGCTGGCACAGCAGAGCGGAGACGAGAGACAAAGGCTGAAGGAGGCTTCTGATAGACAGAAGACAAGGTTGCAATGTTTCGAAGGAGTTCAGCCAGCAGATCTGGGTCTAGCCCGGAAACCTCGTCACTGATAGTTGGCTTCTCTGCAAGGACGATGTCTTTTGCTGCTTCAGGGTCGGTTGAGAGAAGCCTCCAGTACACATAGGCACGATCTCGAAGGTCAGGATTGTCCGTCTCTTGGGTTGCGTTGTTGAGAACCGTCTGCAAAACAATAAGAAGCCTCAGTAAAAAGTAACAACAAAAGCTGCAACATACAGCGAACCAAGACTGGAACCGACTTTCCTGAATCATCTGTTGTGGCCCCTCTGTTGGCTTCTTCAAGAAGAGCTTTACTGCTGCTGTCAACAATTGCAGCTGAACCTGTGAGGGCTCCTCCAAAAAGGTTTCCAAGAAACCTTCCAAGAGTTCATCGGCATTGTCAATACGCTCAGCGTACTCTCCAATGATCCATATCATCGACGCCTGCATAATGCAATGGTCACGTGAGATGTGATGCACCAAGTTGCATTCAACAAAAACCATGACGAATAGCCATCTGTACCTTCGCCTCTGGTTCATCCAGGTTGTCTAAGCTTTCACAGAGTGTTGCGATAATGGATTCATACCTGCTCAAATAGGCAGCATGAATAACCAGTTATTAGTGGGTGTATGGCCAACAAGTCACCCAACATTAGATTGCTTCACTTACGTGTTCGGATATCTGCGGAAAATGTCCTTGATCACAACAATCGCCTCTTGGACGACGTAATTGACCTTGATCTTGATAAGGTCCAAGAGGACATTGATGCATCGCTCTGCAGCCTTCTCAAGCTTGATGGCACACCGGCCGATAGCGCGGACAGCTTTCCTAACGAAGTCCACATCCACCTCAGTTGCATACTCCTTGAACTCGAGCAGCACCTGACAACCAGATTCACCAATTAATGCTAAGTACACTGACTGTAAGTACATGGATAGCGAGTCAAAAAAATGAAAGCAAATACCTGATCAATGTTTCTTTCAGATGCGAGGCGAATCATGATCTCAAGCTTCTCCATCTTCACGTAAATGGGGTCATTATACTTGCAAAAGAAAACCTAAAGAATGACACAAAGAATTAGTGGGAGTACTTCTCGGGCAGTACTTAGGACTTCTCAACTGACATCACAAACCTTGATTTCATGTGCAAGAATAGATGGCCGCTTTTGCACGACGAGGTTGATGTTTCGCAGAGCCACATACTGAATCTCAGGCTCTGACGAAAGAAGCGTGACCATCGGAGGTGCCATCTTCTTGCAAAGGTTCCGTATCAAGTCAGTGCTTGTGATAAGCTCCATTTGCAACAAAATGACCTGATCAACGCAGCGTACATTTTGAGAACTTCGTTCATAACCAGGCAGAAAGAGAGACTTAGCGCGACAACAAGGACCAGAAACCGCACCTTAACAGCAGAAAGGACAACGGCTGAGTTCGCATGCTGCAAGCGAGGAGTGACGCGTTCCACAATCCCCTCGGCTTCACGAGCATCACGTGCTTTGTATTTGGAAAGTGAATCCAATATGAAAACCTGTCCCCACCTGAGGTCACGGCACAAGTCGCTCGTTAGACTCATGAGCAACTTTGCAGTCGGATACGAAGCTTATAGAGAAAACACTCACTCGGTACACTCGTTCAGTGCAGCAAGCAGTTTGAAGACTGTATTAGGCGTGATGTCGAAGACAGGCTTGCTGCTGCCTTCTTGAATTTCGGACAGAGCGGCAACTGCGTTGGCCACTACCATGGGATTGCTGTCAGAGATCATATCCCGCAGAATGTCTAGAAAACCACGATCCTCGACCAGCTCTGCGTTGATGTCGTGGAGCTTGGCCACACAGATTGCTGCGGTCTTCCGAACGTACGGGTCGTCGTCCTGAAAAAAGGAGAATAATGGTTAGTTAGGGCAACCAAACCTCAGTTACAGAGGTCAACATAACGTTGGCGTGTACCTTCAGGCATCGCTGCAGTGGGTCACACAGGTACTCCGTGATACGATCAACCCTAATGCAACCCATTGTTCGCACCGCCAAGGCCCGAATGAGCGGATTCGGATCTTGCGAGTCCTGGAGAAAAGAAATGTCAGTGGCTAGCTGAAAGGGCGCTACATCAAGGAAAATCGATAATTGAGGTGTTAGGCACCTTCACAAATGTGTTGACGGCGAGGATGGCAAGATCCGGCTGGCTCTTGGCATAGTTAATGAGGTACAGATAGACAAGCTTCTTCAGCTCCAGGTTCTCAGTCTGCATGCAGTTCACAACATCTGTGAACAGCATGGACACGTCCTTGCCTACAGTCATGGCTGCAATGACCTTCTTGACCGCATCCTTCCTCTTCTCCTGCAACACATATCCAAAAATCGTATTCAATGCTACGCTCATTAACCTACATCTGTGTGATAACCAAAGATCGACTACGCCATGGTCCATAGAACAATCCTGGTTTCAAGACGGCACCTTGTACGGAGAATTTAGCTCCTCTTTCAATTCATGAATCTCGCCCTTCTTTGTTGTCGTAAAATATTTCGAATCGTGGCCGCTCATGGCTATAGCTTCTATGTAACCTGCTGCTGGAAGAACGACGGTCTAGGCGACAACAGCCAGAACAGAGAAATCTGCTAGCTATTTGTGCCTGCAGGAGGCGGATGCGCGCGAAAGTGGTGGAACGGCTTGCTGGCGAGAAACAGAAAGCATGCAAAAATCGCTGAGCTGTGACCAGCAGAAGGTATGTAACAGTTATGAAATTTGGACGTTCGTACTTACAATGCCCTTACATATAGTAACTGTTCAAGCTTTACCTTGAATAGTTACATGTTTTTGGGTTGCGTAGCAACCTCATACATTTGGTTTCACTTTTTGGGGAACTGACCGTGAACAGTGA